TAAATTAAGCTTCTGAACTCCTATATAGGCGTTCTGTACCACTGTGCGCCGCGGACCGATTCCATATTTGCGGAAGTGATACGACTGGAGGTGTAAAACGCGGACCGAATGCCAAACAAGCTTAATCAACACCCGAAAATACCAAAAGGAACACGACTGACGTAAACGTTCGAAAACATTGAATCGATCAAGGGGCTCGAGAATGAACGAAGAAACGAAAACGAACGAGCAACGCATCTATCCAGGCGACGAGAAAAGTAACCGTGCCCCCTGGTTTCGGTGTCACAGAACCAGGCCGTACAAATATTTTCTAAGCATTTTCGAATAACGGTAACCAACGTCTGGGCTGCCCGATTCCGCCCAAAGAAAGGAATTACGGTTCAAGGCGAAGGACGCGGTAACGTAAAAACTTCGACTTTCGGATCGGTTGGAAATGTGGTAAGCAGTGATGACGATACATTTGTATTGTATCGATATTATCGGTATCGATACACTTGCAATTAAATTAGAAGTAATAAAATCGAAAAATGAAAATGAATCATTTATTTAAGCAGATACTGAGGTAGATTCTCAGGTAACAGTAGATATGGAAAAGAAATCGGCTAACTGCAAACTTTATAGGAAGTTCGCCATTGGTTAATTTTCTTTACGATCTGTCACGTTACGGCAAATGCACCGATTGCATCGAAATTTCGATTACCAGGTAAGTATCGATACTGGAATGTATTAACCATAAAATTAAATATCGATATTTGTATTTGTTTCTTGTATCGCACAACGCTAGTGGTATGTCCAGTGACCGTTCGATACGACGTGTTCGAGGAAACGGAGCAGAGTTTCCTACCGCAGTTTGAATATCAAACTAAAGTCCAAACGTGTAATCAGCCTCGATGACTATACGATTTTCTCGAAACACGCATCGTTCCGATTTCTTCCTGTCGAAACGATTACGCGAACGCGGCAGAAGGTGAATGAATTTTCTTTGAACTCGAGCGAACAGGATGTCTAAACGAGCGATCGCCCGTTATACATGTAATTACAAGCGGCTACGGCGTTAATTGGCACGCGTGTAGCGTTTTCGACTTTTCTGAAAATCACGATCGACGGGGGAGCCGTCGTGTCGCACCGTAATCGATCGCAATTATCGAGGCCCCTAGACGGCCCGTGCGACGAATTAATTATCGGCGGTCTGGTCCGTACGATCTAATGGGCCCAGAGCCGTTCCTAGGTTATTGGTCGCCCGAGTGCAAAAAAAGTATCACCGCCCTTATTTACTTAATATTATTTAATTAAGAATTTAATATGCAGTGTTTACTTTTATATCTATATATTTATATGTGTTCCTGATCATCAGGCAGTCGTTAATCCGCGTTTTAATAAACATTAGATTCCGCAACGAGGCGAATTGGGAGGGCGCGCGCGTCCTTTTTCCGCTCGGTTACACGCAAAGCCCTTTCGAGCGTGAAAAACCGTTCCATAGTCGACAGGATTACGACGTCCCGGTAAAGAACAACTCACTGAACAACCCCTTCTTCCCGTTTTATTCTCTCCTGTTCTCCCGAAGGGAACTTCTAATGGGTTATGGCGTCAGCGTCGATTTCATTCGTCGTTCCCGCGGGAACGAATAAATACGGAACCAGGTCACCGGGATTCGAACGACGTCCAAAGTCAATGAACCGAAACCGTAACGCTTTTAGAAAGATCATCTTTTATTGAACCGTCTCTCGAGAGAGTCTGCGACGCTTCCAGGACGTTCTCAATACGCAACGGAATCTCGATAAAATGTGCCGCACGATTTTCAATAGGGAAACACCGGTTATTGCGACATCAAAGGACGCCTCTCTCGAGCCCGCCGATATATTGAATCCAACAAGAATTTGTTGGCAGACTTCCTTCCTTCGCGACGGGTATATTGTTCGACGCGATATTCGGTCATTGAAATCACCGAGGACGCATTCATCGAGATGTGTACGCGCCGACGATAATGTATATTTAATGGCATATTCATCTCTGTACAAAGGCCTGACGCAAACATTGATGTGAAGCAAGATGTCTGAAGTACAAGGCCTTAAAAGACATACAGTCAATCCTCGATGAGTGCTCGAAGGCTCTTCAGCAGTGACAAGCAGAGGTCACCAAGTGGAATGCTGACTTTTTAATCGAGGTTTAGCACAGTGAAAGAGCTTGGAATTCCGAAGCCAATGATACTTGTTTCTGTCGCATAAGGCCATTAGTTTATGAAATATTTAATGCCCAGTCTCGAGGAGCCTTCGAACACTCATAAAGGATTTACTGTACATCGAAGACAGCTAAATATGAACTTGAGTAGTATCTTTCGAGGATAGACGAAACAAAATCGATAGATATCCCCGATACATACTACGTAATTAGTGTCCCCTGGAACGATGACATTAAACTTTCTAAATAGCCTGCAGACACGCGGCAGCGCGAACTAATGACGCCTCGAATTAATCGAAATTCTTAGCCACGGTCGATTTTATTGCGCGGTCCTATAAAATCATTATATTATCGCGTTGAAAGTGTTATCGACTCGATGAAATCGACGCAACCAGTTTCACCCGGGGGCTAGTACATTCGTGATTACCGCACGATTAGAAGAGTAGGTATGCTCGGTGTCGAGAATATATCCCACTATCGGCGAACGATTCCGTAACCTCGTGAGTTCTTATCTTCGGGGCCGTGAATCGAGTCCGATAAAATGCCGATGTTTTTTTCGCCCTCGATTCCAGAATTCACAGAGCCCCACCGATACTAGTGACTTTTCGAAGCGATTAGCATACTTAATTAGGCGACCGTCAGCCTGGGGTAACTTGTCGACTCGCGAGTTATACGTGCCCCGAACACTCGAACGGGGGCCTGTTACGGGGCCCTTTATCCGCTCGCAATAGCGTAACCCTGCGATATTACGTGTACCTTTAATAAAGTTCGTGCGCCCTAACGGTAGCATGGAACATCGCGACCCCACCAGAGCTGGAAAACAGTCGGAGATCAGAGATTAAAGAATTCGAACGACTACGATATCCTCTGCTCGTGAGAATGTACATAACATGTTCAGGTGAGCTTCGTGAGAACACGAGGGAGGGGCAACCTTTTCGGTGAGTTTTAATTAAAACTTCAGGATACTGATTGGTCGTCAAGATAGTCAGAAGTATGAGATACCCTGAAGACACACGGTCCATAATGCGTTGTACCCTTGCGGAACCTTTGGAAGAAGGTCTTCTACCAAAACGTAAAATATTGGTATTATACCAATATTTTCAGTTGTACCTTCGCCCTATATAACCCTATATAAGCCCTACCCTTATAGAAATCGACAGAAGACCGGTTTTTATTTCGATTTTCAGTAATATATCGGTTTCGGTATAGCTTTGATGGCATAATACCGGTATGAAAATCATACTGGTTTAACCCTGCTTTCGAAGCATCGACGAAAGATTCAATCGGCCGTTTTCGATTTCGTTCTTTCGATGGTGTATATACACGTATATCTCGCGTCTCGTTGCACGTCGCGAGCTAAAAGTAGAACCGTACTGACGCCACTGTACCGCTCTCAGAGCGAGGACTATAGAACTGTATACGCAGAGGCCAGAGAGAGGAAGAGGAAGGAACTCGCCCCCGTGTGCTGGCTCGTGCACGAGCCGTTGCGACCGCGCGGGAGATTAAAACGAAAAACCATTGGTCCTTTTCTCTCTCTCTCTCTCTCTTGTATTTTTTTTCTTTTCTTTTTTTATTCTTCCTCTCCCTACGGTTGAAAGAGCATCGCACTTGGCCACGGAGAGATACCGGGCTCCCTGCGGAGAATTCAATGGGTGCTCTAACCAAAGCCATTTGCCGAGAAAAAGAGAAACTGGGAGAGGGCCTGGATGTCGATAGAGAAACACATCGGCCGGCACTCCGGAAGGAATATATATATATATATGTTTTTATTGCTTCCCAGGTGAGATTTACGATGCTCGATTGGAAAGAATCGTCGGATCAATTTTTCGTATACTGTATTGCGAAATTCTCTCGATACAGTAAACGACAAACGAAAAATATACCGGACGCCATTTTACGATACTGAAATGAATCTCGCGACTGTTGGTTCAACACGTGGACACGCGATATCGTTGCGACTCTCGACTCGTTCGGTCGTGATGGAGCACAGTTTATGCGATAGATAGGCGAATATTAATAATAGCATTGCCGTTAATTGCATTTATCGAAGCGAATTGAAAAATAAAAGGCAAGATACCACACCTGATTTCAGTTATATTCAGTGCAAAGAAATACATTACTCGTAAATATTCGATTAATTCCCCGACTGAACTCGGACTATTTCCATTTGCATTCCGTGCTCGCGATCTCGATGGCCCTTTGAACTTTGCAGTTCGTTAGCTGACCTACTTCGGAGGAATCAATTCCTGGGCGAATAACGCGTTCAATTGCAATTCGGGTCTGTCTCGTCAATACCGTCTGTATACCCAATTACCATGCAGAAACAAATTCAACGGGTGCGAATGAGGTCACGATCTTCTAAACGTGATTCGGTGGTTATTTAATTGTTATTTATTCACGACTACTTAAGGGAAATATCGAGTCATCGTTGAACCGTCGGACGAGGAGTGGAATAATGAATGGTCCCTCGTCTACACCGGTGCATCGCGCGGTCAGTTCATTTGTTTCTCAATTAGCCAACCGTGAAACCGTTGAAATTAGTTGCAGCAGACGGGAACGAATTATCGATCATTCCCTCGGACATGGAATGTGTACCGTGCGCAAAAGGAGCAACGGTGCAGACTGGTCGCGAAGGGAAAAATGCGCACAATAATAACGTCGTGACGGTAGAGGGTGTCGAGCGCGTTCGCGTGCGGTGAGACAAGGGTTTCGCGAGGCGCGAAACGAAAAGGAGGTTACGACCTGTTGCGACTTTCACCGGAGCGGAACACGTTTCGAGTGAACGGTCGATCGTAACGCGGAGCTTTAAAAATGATACCGACCTTGAAGGCAACACAGCAGGACGATCCCGACGACGAGGGAGACGTGACGGTGCATCCTTGGTACTGTCGGCGGGTATTGTCGGATCCGTTCCGTTGGGTTACCCACGATCGAGGAACCAGTCGATGACGACCACAAAAGTTATACAAGTGAACTTTCCTCGGAGGCGCAGCGGACGGACGTCTCCGTACGATTATCTTATTGCGTGTGTGTGTGTGGCAGGCTCTCGCCACCGATGGTGGTTGTTACAGCGGATAAGGCCGATGTAGCACGCGGAAAAACGAAGATGATCAGAGAAGGATACGACTCGGTGGTAGCGCCGTGAGGAAGGAGAGAGGAGGAAGTGTGCCCTCTTCGACCTCTATCGTCCTTCGAGGTCCACGAACGACTGAGGCGCACGAAGCGACGTCGGTCCGGCTATAGCCTCCCCTTCCTACTTTCACGTGGCGTGCTCCCGTTTCCAGTGGAGGCGCGGACTGGAGAGCCTCTCCATGGGCCATTTACCATTACCATCATCGTCGACGACGGCCAGTCAAACGAGGGAAGGGGACGGCGGTAAGGGCCAGCTTGGACTTGAGAAGCGGAACGAGGGGAAGAAGCCTGAAAACCCACGAACTGATCAGAGATCGGAGAACCATCGTTTCTAGGCCAGCTCTTCCTCCACCAGAACAGAAGATGTCTTATTATTATTCTTCTTATTCTTCATCTCTTGGAAACGATCTCCTAGCTTTCGGCTCTCGTCTTTCCCGATTTTGACGGATCGACCTCTCTGTCTTTATCCTCGACGATCACCGGTACCAATGGATCCATCAACGCCTTGTCCGCGAAATCGAGGATATCCGAGACACTCTAATAAATCACTTGGAAAGTATATCTGGTGAAACTGTTTTCCTTTTCAGCAAAACAACCGAACGGTGATAAGCAGGCGGAGACCCAAAGGAAACGGCGGGATGGTCCATAGAAAACCTGATTGAGAAAGTTGAACGATTAAACGATATATGTATAAATAATTCTCGATAGTAGAATGTTCTCGGCCGGCTTGATGAAGACGCCTAGCCCGGACGCGACTTGCTCGTCTATTTACATTTTAGCGGGTACACTTTCTAATCGAACGATCGTGGGGAATTTTCTTGTTACCGACAGCGACATTAGTCTCCTTTCCTACTTACATTCAAACCTCTAATTTCACGTGGCGAACGGAGTCGCGCATTATTCGCGTATCGGAAAGGAACATATTAAGGGTACACGTTCTCTATCGCGTCCCGTAATCGGACACTAATTACACGGCAATTTCGCGGGTAGCACGCGAGCGTGCATAATTAATCGGTACAGGAAACAGAAATTGTCGGGTAGAACTTTCTCATGGAAAGGATATAATTTCTATTCGAACACCGTTCGATGATTCCATTCGTGGAAACGCACACGTCGGGGACCGTGACTTTGGATTTGCGAAATGTTGTCAAAAGAGGACGATCGACGGTTGATTAATCGACGCAACGTATGTATACTTTCCTAGATTCGACGGAATCGCCTGTGATGCTCCAGTTTCGGCCGTCTAATGTATGAACGAGGACTAAAAAAACAGCTGTACACCGGTTGTTACACACGAAAGTGTGGCAGTAGCCCGAGGGAAGAGAGGTCGAATGTACAACCGGGGGGCCTCTCGCTCGGTTGTGGTCGCAGGTGCAGCTGCATCCGAACCTCTACGTATCGGAGCTGAACCGTGATCGCCGAAGGCCGGAGGGGATCGTTCATCAACATCAACTGTCGGCGTATAATGCCGGGGCCAGAAAATGTACGTATGTATCAGCATGAATCTCGTATGGCACTTCACCATTAACTCACCAGCGTGTTTAACATTGTTACCTTTGCCTAACAGAGCTGCTACCGTGTCCCATTTTTTGGCCATTGTCTCGTCTGGGAATACCCCGTGGCAGTAAAAGAATCTGTCCCCCGCTTTGGATATTTCCACGTCTATAAAAAGAAGAACACGGAATGAAAGTATAGTTTCCTCGTCAAATCGTTAAGTTCGATCGTAGGAATCAAGTATTCCCGATCTACTCACGTCGAGCAGCCGGGCCAGGTGACCGTCTACGTGTAACGATTCGCATGTTTTTGCATGTGCTTCACGACGGCCTTAAAACGACGAAACTACCGAGCAACGACCTCGTTGCCGTGTGTCTCGTCCCGATATCATTACGAAACTCCTTCTGGTCCTGCACGGTTCGCTTCCCCGAGCCCGTGTCCTTCGATTCCACGTCGAGTACCGGCACTAAACCCCGGCAGCCAGTGATTTCAAATCGGGTTTCTACCGCGGATGATTTATGAGAGGACAGAGTGGCCGGTGAACCGCACGGTACTGACTGAAAGGGGATAATAAATTCGAACCCGGTGAGAAATAATAAACGACAACGAAGAGATTGGATAAGCGATTCTACGCGACAGATCGGCCGAGAGGTAGCCCTCGCGTCACTCTGCCAAGAATGCTCTCGGAGCGAATTGAATTTGAATGGATTCATTATCCGCGTTTACAAACGCGCCTGCTCGACTACGAACCTCGCGGTTACATATCCTGCACAACGATTGTTATACGACCAACGCAAATCTGCTCTCGGCTTTTGTTTGTATACATCAATTTTTTTGCGATCGATCGACCCATCTTTCAACGACATTTTCATTTCCACTTTAAGACAGACGTTACCCGACAATTGCGAGCGAGAATGCTCTTTATTCAACCGAAGCAACGGGTAGATTAAGTTATTAGGTGGCTAACGCGAGTGTGAGCTTCGCCGTCCGCGTGCCGCCTGCGCTTTGTTCCGTAATTGATAAACGCGATCACGCCTTGTGTCCGACTTAATACCCGCATTTTCCAGCGTATTTCCTTTCGACACGGTTCGATCAACCACGGAAGATCAAAGAGTCTTACGCTCACGATACCAATCCGACAACAGGATAATTTCACGTCGTGGAACGAGCACGATCCGGCCCACGAAGGTGATCCACTTTATTCCCGATCCTGGCGCGGTCGAGGCACCTGCGATCGGTTCGGCCACGGTATCGTGAATTATTGTAACATTATACCCTGACCGGTCTCTGCACCGTTATGCCGATTAATTAATATCCGTTAGCGTGCCGCCGCATTTAAGATACATTATTCGCGTCAAACAACACGCCGTAACATTTGGACGTTGAAGGATTATTAAGATACGGGTTCGATGGACCAGGCGATGGAGAAAGAAATCGTCCGAGACTTGCGTCACACATTGTACACAATGGTTCATCGGAACCCGTTAGATCTGATTTGTTAAAAATTGTTTGAAACACGACTTTATAAGTTTTGAAGCAACTTCGATACCATTAAATTACCGATGATTTATGAATAAGGGTTGAAACAAGTGCGTCTCGAAACAAGCCGTGGTATCCCGCCCATTTCCGCTCGATTCGCGAAGATCGCGAGTCGACTGACCGTCCTGATCGATTTTGGTAACGCCCCTCATTTCAAACTCGTTGTCGTTCGTGAAACGGATTTCGTTATTAGCGAATTCCAAGGACTCGGCTCGATACCGGAAAGCTATTTCTAAATGTACTATTACCACTCGCGAAATCATCTGTCTGTCCTGTAGCGTTCTGTTGTATATGTATTTCATACGCGTTCCGTTCCACGGGAAAAATGTTTAGGGCGGTTCGAAGATGTACGAGCGACGAGGAAAGCATGAAAAGAAACTCGAAAGGACTCGCGCGGAGCCGGGCCAAGCCGACGAGACCGTGGCGGCCAGTGTAAAGCTTGCGCACTGTGAGAATCGGGAATTTCCATGTATTAAATAAACATCTCGCCGCTGTCAAAGCAAAGTATAGCGGTGTGGTATAGTGTCCCGTGTTCGTGACCATACAGGGGAACTCGTAAAGTATGCAACCGGACAAGGCAAATGCAGGCGAGCTTGGTCCAGGACAGCGCCGCTGCTCGGCCGTTCGCTAAATTACCATCGGGACCTGCCACCTCGGCCGCTTGCGGTAACATTCGACTGGTAGCAGAGACAATTGTACATACATTATACACCTGTTCGTTAACCGCTATAAAAGATAAGAAAGAATCTAGATCATTGAACGCCTCGTGGCGAAAAATACTTTACAATATTGTGTCATTACCAGCGCAACCGACTTTACGATCGCCAGGATCGAAGCTCATGAATCGTTCTGCGGCCTTTTATTTTCCTCGGAACCTGTTGATTCGATTTGCTGACGGTAACCGAACGGATCACCGTACAGACATAATAGGATTGACACCTCCGTCGTAAAACCGGACCGTCGACTCGACAGCCTAACACAATTCTGCCGTGCTTCTTGTTAACCGGAGAATGTATCACGCACGGCAACCCATCGGCAAATAAGTCACGAACCATTTCTGCCGCTTCGAATCTCATCATTCTCTCGCTCCATCGGCGTAATTAATGCTTCTATTACTACACGGTTACAAAGATACCCTAGAGGTCTTCATAGACGTGATTGTACTGCACGCAATGGTTCGGTATAATAGGTTAGTCCAGCGAAGCAATTACTCGCAGAAAAATAAATAAAAACTCTAAAACAACATTGTTTTATAAATATTCTCAAGTATATACCACTTGGCTCTTATCTGCCTATTATAAACTGTTTCTACTATCGTATTCAATAGCATGTAAACTTGTCGGATTGTCGAATTTGATTTTCTCGGCAAACGAAGTTTCATACGAACAAATTAATCTCATATTATTTATATAGAATTATATATTTGAAATCACTTGCCAGTTTATATACTTCGAAACATGCAGCATAGGAGTGTCCCGTTACTACGCGTGCACACGGTCGCTTAATAGAAAATCCCTGGATGCATTTATATCTAAAATGAATGTGTTTACACAACAGTAATCGGATACGCTGATTAGGTAGCTGCACGGCAGCAATTCTTTAACGTATGACAAAGTTGTATACTTACGACAGGTTGACTGCGACCAAATGCGTTATGAATACAACATCCCGTTAAATCAACTTACGCAATTAATTACCAATAGGAGGATTGT